TTTAGCAAACTTCAAAAATGTACGCATGATGGTGTAAGGTAAATTATGTACAAGCTATTTATCTAGCTGGGAAAGTAATTTGTTTAGTGAAAAAATAGATGAATGAATTCAGGAAACATTTTATATTTCATAAAGGACTACAGTTTTGTAAAACACTTGGAGTGAATCGTTTGTGGCTGTAAAGCACCGGTGATAGTTTTAAATTTTTGGTTATTTAGAATAAAATCTTTAAAAAGTTTCTTAGAATATCATACTAGAATAAACAAACAGATATAACACACTAATGATACAAAAACAATATTTTTCGGTTTCGCTTGATTTTTACTTGTTATAAAAACCCAATGCTCTTCAATGTTATTACAAGTTTGATTTATTTTGTTAAATTCATTTGTGTTTCTTCGGTTTTTTCTGTCATGCTGATGACTTAAGGTTATCACACAGACATTAGTAATAATATGAAATAATTGAATTAATTCATAAATACATGTGGTTCAAATACAAAGAACATCAAACTAACGTTCAGCTAAGAGATAACTTGATAAAACCGAAATGTTCATAGCCAAAACTTTAAATATGAGTAAATTCTATTGACATTAAGTTTATTTTTGGAGTCTGTTATTTTTGGGAGATATCAATGATATTTTCATCCGAAAAACCTGTCTGGATCAAGAGCCAAATGTTGTAAATGAGACAACATTAAGACTAACATGAAAAATTTGTTATTGACTGGTAAACACTGATTCTTTACGAGTTTTCACTGTATTTAATTGAAAATTTCACATACGTTGCCGATACTTTCCGTTTAAAACCCAGTCAAAATAGCATTCGAAAGTGTTTGCTATTTTAGATATTATTAGTTTAATAATTAATTACCAAAATTATTAATTTTGATTGGAAACTGGAAAAGGATTGGATTTTGAACTGGAAAAAAGTGTTGGTTGAACCATCCAGTTGAAATATACAAAGGATAATAGCCAAAAAATAAATTGTTTGTTACAACATTTGCAAACAGCAGATAAATTTTCATTGGAAAAACCACATTCAGTTTTTATCGGAAAATCGCACTAATAATCTTCCAGTTATAAATCTCTTTAATTTAGAGTACATTCAAAGTTTTCGACTAAGTCAGTCCTGAAAACATATTTAAGCTGCACGCTCCATACTCTTGAAGCTTTGTCATATCTTGGCTTTATATTTTTAGATATCAAAACACTATATGAGTTTGCTAAATCAGTTTCATTAGTTTTCTTTGTAAAATTTGCATCTAAGTGGTCGTTTGGAAACTTGCACCTTAAAACACCATCCTTTTGTCCACCACCAAACATTTGTCTGTATAAAACGACTCGATGAAGAGTAGTTTTGAACAGAGAAATTTATACTCGAGAAAAAGTCTTCAAAGTAGAGGAAGCTTGTAATCCAGATAAATCACCAAAAATTTTCGAAATCAGCACTTGAAGCGTTCTTTCTGGTACGTAATGATATCTCGAAAGCGACGGTGCGAAATTACAAAAATACCTATTTTTTTGGCAAAGCTGCACAATTTTATTAAAAGAAACAACCCAGAATTCGATTTTCCATATTGAAGATGACTCGATCTTCAAAAAGATTAACATTTTCCTTTTAAATGCTTCGCTATTTAGAGTCTACTTATTCTTGCATTTTATGGTGCCTTTCACATGCAAGCGATCGTTTATGGTCAAATGGTCCAAACTCCTTTTCCAACAATTAAGCAATTAATTAGCATATTTTTTAAATCAATGTTATTCTTTTCATGAATGCTCTCATTTGTTTATACCATTTTTAGTTCAAGCTTTAAAAAATCGTTCTATTACATTTTCTGGTACGTTGCCTGTTATGCATTTTGCTTAAATCTAAGTAATCTTCGACTTGTAGATTTGAGTTTTCAGATTTGGAACGATTGTTTTCGTCCTCACTGCGAGAATGATTTTGTGATATTCGGAGATTTTGGATTTTTTTTACAGTTCGGTTTTAACAGATACTTAAGACTTAGAATCACTTCAAAGATGTTGCTTGGAAAATTATGTTAATTAAATTTATTCTGAACATCAACAAACATATTCTGAACACACATTTAGGTTCTTTTCCATTTTGTATCTTGTAGCTCAGAACTACCCCTTTTGTTTTTTCTGGTATGATTTTCTAATTGATGCATTAACTCGTTGTTAATGAGAATTTTGCGGCTTCATTTGCCTGAATACGTATATAGGAATTTCCACGTTTTTTGGATAAACTGGATTGATTTATTTTTAAATTTAAAAACCAATTTTGATTGACCAGTTTCTGAGGTTTTTTGAGTCCTGCTAGATTTGGTCGACCTTGCAATTCAAAAATACAGCACATTTGGAACACTTTCTCATTAAAGGAGACTTGAAGTCGGAGCAGAAGGTTTTTTTAATTCGTTCGCATCCTATTTCACCACCTTCTACGTACATTTGATTTTTACTTTATATGTTGTCATTGCTGCCCGATTTGGTTCAGTTCAAACCTTCATAATTCGTCTACTAAACTCCTTTAGCAAGCACAATTCTTTTAAGGGAAATTAGTGAAATGAATGGCTGTTACTCAGACACGTTTTGCCCGAATGCAACTCAATCAATTTGGATGCATCTCATTAGAACGATTGGTCGACTGTTCTAGGAAAAGAAATCAATATCAATCTGTTTCTTTCGTCGGGCTCGTTGTCGGCAGAAGTGCAAATCACTCGAGCCGAGCTGTTTATTGGTGAATTGACAATTACGTTGTCGTGACAAGCTGCTTTGCATGGTCGGTACAGGTGTAGAGATCTCTATCTCGAATCGTTTTCCAAATATCGACTTATCTTGATGTCTGTTTACGCAAAAATCGAAATTCGTGATCACGAGCACGAGTTTTTCTTTTCGCCCCGCCATCTTCGGACGCAAAAAGGCCTTTGAACGAGTCTTGAAATGGTGCGATAACTGTGTCGAGGTTGGACGATCCGATAGGCAGAGGAAAGACAACTTTTATGTGGAATAACAGTTTTCACTTGGTTAGATTCATATCATGCTCAGGATAGATTTTATGTGATAAACATCTGTTTTGCAGCTCTGCCTGCATTAAGCAAAAACTACTAAATCTTAGCAGTGCATCTGAGCACTTCACCGCAAGCACCTACTTACACTACTACAAAAACCACAATTTTCCTTCTGCATATTGCGATACTTAACATTTTAGAGTTCAGCAAAACCACTGTGAAAAATTCATCCAGTATATATTTTTAAGTGATCAAATAAGTTCACTTGATGTTGTAAAGTAGAACGTTTTTATTGATTAGCTGGAAGTCGGAATTCACGTAAAAACAGCCATTACTGCTGAGGATGCACCGAAGTCGGAAATTGATGCCATAAATCATCTTAAGTGGACCGTTATGGACTTTTAATAGTGACCATTTCTATTCGATCCACAGGTGATCAGTTTCGACATTTCAAACCGGTAGAAATGGTTTAAGTCGCACAGCCCTAACCGCTGATGCCCTTCCGGGTAAACTACTGGAAAACATTTTTTCGAGGCCGCCCACATTTCCATCGACAAGTTGCTTCTTCATCAGACGGGTCACGACGCTTCATCTCTGTTTGCTTATGAACTAATAATTTTGTACACCGTTCACCATCTTCAGATAACCCCAACTAAACAAATATTTATTGTTTGTGACATACAAGCACATAACTGTGCACTTAGCACTGCCTGGTTGATTGACGTTTTCGATATCCATCGACTTGGCTTCGTTTACTTCGTAGAAACTGTTCACTTTACTGCTGTTTCAGAACTCTGGCTCATAGTTTTCCTTAAAGCCTTTGGCTTTATTCAGTTTCTATGAACATAAAAGACCATCAGTGATTGAATTTCGCAACTGCAAGGAGGATTTTTGTCCTGAACTAAATTGAGTTGAAGAAGGAAATGAAAGAAGCATTTGAAGGCACTTTACATCCATCTTGTTAGAGAGCTAAGAATTAATATTGGTACATTTTGCAACTCGAAGAAGTTCAGCCGCTGGTGTCCTTTGAACGCTATTTTTGCTTCAAAAACCTGATTTTTCCAAGTGCAACTTCACTATTTCTTTTCCACAATTCAAATTCTTTTGCATGTGTTCTTCATAGTGCTATTGCGAAGAAATTTGAGTGCTGCTCAGTCTTTTTGGAGATGGTATTTTAAAACCCTTTTTCTTCCGTTTATTGTGGGTGTTAGGCCTGCATTTCCCAACTTAATTCTCTTGAAATGTTGAGGTACATGACTCCACCGATCTCTTTGGAGGTCTTCCGGGGGACGACTTGTCCATGGTCTTCCAGCTCCAGCGATTCTTTCCAGCTTTTTTCTGTCATCCTGTCCACGTGGCTCTTCCAGTCTCTTCCACTTTTGCGTGGGAGTAGTTGTTGCCAGGAGTAGTTGTTGGGAACGTCTCTTCTTCTTCTTCTTCGGTCCGTGTTCATCCATTGTCGGATATAGACCTCTTCCAGGTTTTTCCATGTCGGGCGATCTTTCCCTAAGCTCATCCATTGTCCTCCTGCCACCGTTATGACATCGTCTATCCAACTCTTTTCCGGTCTTCCTACACTTCTTGTTGGTCCTCATGATCTCCAAGGTGCCGTTTTCTGGGTCCATCTATCTGGGTCCTGTCTCGCCCCATGTCCGATCCATTACTGGCTTGCTGCTCTTCTCACAACTTCCATCGCCCATCTGTTCAATTCGTATTTTGTCCCTACAGGTGATTCCCAGCATTATTCTCTCTATGGCTCTTTGTGCGACTCTTGCTCAGATATTCTTCGGGTTTTTTCCATAGTTTCCAAGCGGTAGGTGAGAGCCGGTAAAACAAAGCTATCGTATGCTTTTTTCTTTAGTTAGTTGGGAATCTCTTTATCCTTAAATATAAAGTTTACGTTTCCGAATGCCACCCATGCCAAATGGATTCTGCGTTTGATTTACGCAGTCTGGGTTTCGCTACACAGCTTGATTTTATGTCCTAACTAGATGTAGTGTTCTACATTCCCTATGGGAACGTGGTCTATGGTGATGTTACATTCATTTTTGATCATTATTTTGTACTTGTTTAGGAAAATTTTTAAAGCTGTTTTCTTGGATTGCTCGTTTAGCTCATCTACCATGTTGTTCAGTGCCTGAATGTTGCTGTTCATTAAGACTATTTCGTCTGCAAATCTGAGGTGATTGCGGTATACTCCATCCATCTTTAGGCCTTTATTTTTCCATTCGAGCTTCTTAAAAACATATATTTTCTGGTGCTGGGGAAACAGCTTGGGAGAGATGGTATCCCCCTGTCGTACTCCTTTGCCAAGTGATATTCTGTCTGTAAGATCGTCGTCTATTTGTACGTGAAAGGTTGCCTTATCATAGATATTCTGAATTAATTAATTAATTCTCCGTTGTTTTCTCGATGATGTTGCTTTAATTGTTTGAAGATGGTCGCTAGTGCTAAAGCCCTTTCGAAAGTCTGCTTGATCTACCGGTTGGTAGGAGTCCAGTTTCGTAGTCGGTCGATTCTTGATAATTCTAGTGATATTTGAACGATCTCCTTTTTTGTGATATATATATAAATAATCGTTATTTCCTTAAGAAATTTTTTTGTGAACTTGCACTAGTTCGACATTTTTCCATGGTTCCGGGAGTTTTTCCACTCTCAGACATTTGTTACCATTTAACAGCATTCCTATTGTCTCTATTAGTGTTTTTCCACCCAGCTTTAGCATTTCCTGTGTTATTCGATCTTCTTCCGGGCTCTTGCCGTTTTTCATCTGTTGTAGTGTGTATTTAATTTCTGATGGTGATATTTCCAGCATGTCTTCTGACCCTACGTTTATAATTTCTTTAGTTGGTTCATTTGGGCTTGGTATAGCTATAAGCAGAATATTTGAATTTCCCTTCTAATTTTTCATTTATTTTCCTGTTTGCCGCTCTTTTGGTTGGGGAAATCTTAGAACTCTCATGCTTTTATTTTTTTCTATAGTTTCCAGTATTTTGCTTGTTTTGTGTTCTCCTAGGGCTTTCCTTATTTCTTTTTTTGTTGTCTTATTTAGGGTAGTATATTCTGGGGAATCTCTGTCAGTCTTTCTTACGAGCATTTACAAAGCTACAGAGGCAAATTTAATTATCCCTGGCAAAGCTCCAGTTCATCGTTCTTTTGCCCATAATTTCCTTCGGCCTTCATAATTTCGTTCGAAAGTGTTTTTTTCTCAATAATATTAAATATTATTTTGACTTCTACTTTTTTTATAATGCACTATGCATTAGTTACTTGAAAGATACGCTTTTCACTCAATGCACTCTGAGCTAGTTTCATATTCAGAACTTTTCCTCTCGATTTCCTATTTTAACTTTGAAAATGAACTGTTTTTGGACCAATTTTTGTAGGAAAAAGCTAAATTTCCGAAGACAGCGACAAGACGAATATGCACAAAACCGTTCAAATTCCAATAAAACCGACGATTGTGAGCCCAAAAGTTACTTAGCTCGTTTCGTTGGCGAAAAAAACACATTTTTGTTTTTTGCACCAATTTGGTACGACAAAGTCAAACTTCCGAAGAGAAGCATGTGACAAGATGAATATGCATTTTTGTGGATCATCTTGTTTCATTTACTGTCGATTCGAACCTCTCTTTAAAAGCATAATTACTTACAATTAAGTTGCAAATTGCCAAAACATTTTTAGTGTTTTAAACACACTTTATGTAATAATTTTTTTTTGCAGTTTCGATTTTTTAAAGCTTAGATGTAAATGGAATTTGTCACTTGCACGCAATAGCACCATCTAGCTTCAACGGCATGTAACTGGAGATAAATTTGAAAAATTAAAAATGTGATTTACATGCCCCTAAAGTTTGCTTATTTTACTTTTAAACACTATTTAAATAGTATAATTGGTTCTACTTCATCGAGCTTCTTTTGCTTATACTGTTTCTTAGCTTTCGGCCATTCAGTATCTTCCAAAATTTGTGTAAAATTGTTTCAAAGGGCATCAGTTCTCCAAAAATTGAGCCTCTCTAGCGCATTTTCTCTCTAAAACTTTGCCATTTGAGGACCAATTTAAAAAAAAACCAAAAACCCCTTCTACTGCTTTAATTGTCCTTAATTGGCTTACCAGCGACATTCGACATCGCTGCTAATTATATATAGATGTTAAACGCAAAAAAATGAAAGTTTTTATACAAAAAAAAGCAGTTTTTAGTTGCAACTTTGCAACGAATGAAAATCTTCAGTTGGCAAATTTAAGTTTCATTTGCACTTAATTCACCTCTCTTCCACAACTCAAGCTGAGAACAGTGCAATTTGTTGACAGAATGTAATATTTGCGAAAAATCAGCAAATTAAATGGAATTAAAACGTTAAACAGTGTCTGAGAATAACAAAAAATTACAAGAAAACCTGAACTGCTTCCAGGTGTTTTTCACATCGCTTTACGATTAGCAAACAAATCAAACATGCAAAAAGCTGCCCTTTAACAATGAATAATTAATAAAATGATGAAAAGAATGGCGTTCCTGCCACTTACCTAATGATCAAGTTTGCAAGTCATCGTTGCAACATTGTGTACATTGTGTGATTTCCTCATCATCTAAACCATCCACCTGCATGGAAAAATAATTAATCAAAATACGAAAGACGGTGGTACGAAAGAATCGGCCGAAGCCTGACTGGAAAAGCGCAATACCTTAATTAATTAAACGCATGGGAAAAAATTAAAATATTTAAAGAACATCGAAACTGAGCGAAAAAAATTGTCGTGGTCCTGTTAAAATGCCATGGCAAAGTCCGCACTCAAAAATCAATTAAAATAAAAGTCACATGCCTAAATGGCCGCGGCCGGTTGCTTACTTGTGCTAAATAGCTTTTTAGGCGCACGTGGAGGAGTTTTGGTACTGCCTGCTTCCCCAACAGCACCGTCTTCCAAGCAATCAATCAAACAATGTGTGTTAAATTTTTGGAAAATATCTCTCAATCTCTTCTAATAACTGCTCAAAAATTCCACACCATATCAGCAAAAGGACTCGAATCGAACCAAACCGAGCAAACCTATATGCAGCTGAGTAAAATATTTTCTAAATCAATATTAGCGATTTATTATGCTCGTTGTTAAAACTCTCCAATCGGAACAGTTGACTTTATGGTTCCAGGTTCCTCTTAAAGTCGTTCATGTCCGCCGCACCATTTACAGGTTCCTATCTCTTCTATGGTTTGCTTAGAACCCGTGTGTGGTCCGTCTGAGAAAAAAATACGACCGATCCTTAAAAACCTAAACAGCGTTTCAGTTGTGTCCAAATGTCGAAATGGCGATTATGCCCTGTAGGTTGCCACATAAGCTCGAACCAATAAAAACTTAAGCGGTACCAGGTTTTTACATACTGTCGGATTTGTTAAGGTTTATCAATGTATATGGCTTTAACTTGGCACTGCTTTCGTATGTAGTAGTGTTTGCTTCCAATTGAAACGCGGGAAACACCGAAGAAGAAAGTACGTTATTCGTTGATTTAGTTAATCATTTTCAAGCTATTTTGAGTAGCTTTTTCATTGCAAGTTTGACCGCAAATTATGAGTTTATTTTAACCAAAGCTTCTTCAAAAATACTCCTTTTCAAGCCAATATTTTGTTTCTATTCAATTTTTTCAACTATAACATGCACGCTTTAAATGCCTAAGAGCGTCTACAATGAGCTTTAAAAACCCATCAGGAGTCGGTTGACTTCAACCTCATCCCAATAATGATTCTTTTGCAGAAAGCAAAAATGTGTTCAAACAGTGGTGATGGAACGACCTTTTATTGACCAAGACCAAATCGCTGCAAAAATGGGTGAGAAACGGCCTGTAGATGTCGGAAGTACAGAGCTGGTGCCAAAGGAAGTATTCAAGTAGCGATGAAAGCGCCATAATTTTAAAATATTATCTAAATATGGGAAAGCGAGCAATACTCGTGCCAGCAGGAATTTGCTACCCACAAAGTGGTTTATAGAAGTATTTCATTGAAAGACTGTCTCTGTACTTCAGGAATCTTAATGGTGAATTATGATTTTTAATTGTTGTTATCGACATTAAACCTCTTCAAGCAATTTTTAACTTATTAAGCGTTCGTCATTTGAAAAAGATTGTKTCTGAAATCGCAGCTTCAAAGGATGTTGTCGAAATTGCAAAAATRAAATGCATGTTCAGTTGTGTTGTTTAACGGAAGCGGATTTACGCGTAAAAACCATAAATGARATTAAGAATACATAGTTATTGTAAAAATATATAACCTACTTATTGCAGAGATTAGKAGTTGCGAGAATACGAAAAATTTTAAACCGGCATTTMGAARAAACGCRCAACTCGRTATTTGCCGCGATTCAAACGTAATTTTCAGSRGTTTTAGATTKAAGTGTTGGCTATAGAGTGTGTAAAATCCAAGTTTCTAGTTGCTCTACATCCAGCTTTAGAAATTTTTCTYTTTGAGCCCGCGCTTGCGTAAAAACGAAATCGTTTAGACTAACATCTAGAAAGGTCTTAAAAATCAGCATCTGCGGAGAAATTATTGAAATTTTAGCTGTTTTTAGATCCAAGTCTTTTCTATGAAGTTTGTGGGTTTCACAATGCCACTGGCTCCATATCTCGAATTAGAAAATTTTATCGTTAGGCAAAAGTTGAATGGAAACGCAAAATTTTGGGGCAATATTTGCTATAAATACAAATATATCTGATGCTATTTAAATGAAATTTTAGGCGTTTTTAGATGCAAATATTTTCTGTAGAGCGTGCCAACTTCAAGTTACTACTCGTTCTCGATAGGGAATAAGAATTTTGAAACTCAGAAGCCGCAGTTGCACGAAAACGAAACATTTTAGTCACGTTTACAAAGGTGTCAAAAATCAGTAAAAAAAGTAAATATTGAACCAAATTTTTTGAGTTTTTAGGCGAAAATATGTTCTATGGAGTGTATAAATTTCACATTGCTACTTCCTCTATATCGAGAATTACAAATGTTTATTTGTGAGGCCGAAATTGCCTGAGTACGTCACATTTTAAACCAACATTTAGAAAAATCTCAAAAATCAGCGTTTGACGCTATCTAAAAGACATTTTCAGAATTTTTATACAGCTATGTTTTGTCATGTATAATAATTGTAAACATGTTACTACTCCATTCTCGTTCTCGTTCTCCATCGTCAGTTAGAAATTAGCTAGTTAGCAAACTCAAAATTTTAGACAAACATTTACAACGATCCCAAAAATGTTCTGGGATTTCAACGAAATTCTCGGAATTTATATATGCAAATGTTTTCTATATACTGTGTGAGTTTCACATTGCTCCTTCCTCTAGATCGAGAGTTATAAATTTTTATGTTTGGGCCCGCAATTGCGTAAAAACGAAATCGTTTAAGCCAACATTTAGAAAGGTCCTAAAAATCAGCATCTGCGGGTATGTTATTGATATGTTTTGTATCCAAGTGTTTTTAGGTCCAAGTGTTTTCTATGGATTTCGTAAGTGTCAGAATGCCACTCGCTCCAGATCGCCAATTAGAAAATGTTGTCTGTTAGGCAAAAATTTTAGACCAACATTTGGAAAAATCACAAAAATCAGCGTCTAATGCTATTTAAATAAAATTTGCAGATGTTTTAGATGAAAATGTGTTCTATGGAGCGTGTAAGAAAAGCGCGTTAGAAAATGCTTAACTGAGAAGCCGCAGCTGCGAGAAAAATGTTAGGCAAACTTTTACAACGATCCCAAATATCAGCATCTTCTGGGATTTCAGCAATCCTCAGCAGTTTTAGACTCAAATGTTTTCTATCGAGTGTGTAAGTTTCACAATTATACTTCCTCTAGACCGGGAGTTAGAAATTTGCATCTGCGAGGCTCCAATTGCGTGAATAC